AAGGAAAAGTTGGATCCTTAAAACAAAGGGATGCCGAGGACTCTTTTCAAAGCTCATTTGCATTATTTAAATGAGTTATTTGAAGTTCATTAAGAGCACAGACCAAACCCAGATAATGCAGATGAAGGAACTCTGCTGATGCCAGATAAGAGACAAAAAAAAAAAACAAGATACCATTAATTCCAACTGGCTTCACAGGTCCCACGGGGGTTTTAATTACCTGCAGACTGAATTAATTAAACGCAGCAACACCTTTTCCTTCCCTCAGCAAACCCCCACAAGATAAAACACCAAAACCACCTGYCCTGGATTATTTACAARRGAGCYGCTGCAGAATTCCCTCAGAAAAWCACCAGAAAAGCCCTTAAAAAGTCCTCAGYGCTCTTGAATKTAACAATGTTCTGATTTATTTTCATCCAGCTTGTAAAATATTTGGGATAAAAGGTTGTGGGGTGAGGAGCAGAATATTTATTTYWAATTTTCTGCAGAGGCAGACAGGGAGACACAAAAACACCAGAAAAGCCCTWAAAAAGTCCTCAGCRCTCTTTAATTTAGCAAYGTTCTGATTTATTTTCATTTATTTGGGATAAAGGGTTGTGGGGTGAGGAGCASAATATTTATTTTAAAGTTTTTGCGGAGATAGGCAGGAGACAAACATCTGAAAGGTGAGAGATTGGAAGRATGCAGCAAATAATTCCAATTTTAAGCTGGAATTCCATGAAAAAAGGCTGGAATGCCATGAAAAAATGTTGGAATTCCATGCAGAAAAGGCTGGAATTCCATAAAAAATGCCCACTTACGGTCTAGGGGAGGCCTGACGTTGTGGAAGTTGATGTTCTCAGCTGAAACCCGAATTCCTGAGAGGATGAAGAACGGGAGAAGSGCTCCGGTCACCATCCTGGGCATCACTGCGGGGAGAAATCCCGGCTCTTCAGACCTGGAAAAACACAGGAATTCATCATTTAGCAGGAATCGGGGCAATCGGAGAGCAGGATGGAAAAATTCCTGCGAAATCTGCTGGAAAACCTCGGAAATCCAGCTGGGAATGTGAGTGAGCGGCACAAAGACGAGCTGGTGGTGCCTTCTGCTGGTCAAAATCCCGCACAGAGAACTCAAATCCCAAAAAAAAAAATCGAGTTCACCTCATTCCTTTCATCCGTTTGTCCTCCTGAGCAATGGAAAAGTTTAAAATTCCCAAAAAGAAATCCTAGAAATTCCTAGAAAATTACTAGAAAATTCCTAGAAATCAACAAGGAGATTGAGGTTGCTTTGATCTCACTGGAAACAGCCCGGAATAAACAACACTAAGGAAAAAAAAATGCAGAGAAATCTCAATTTTTACAGCAAAAAACAATTCCTTATCTGAGATAAATTTAAGATAAGATGAATTTCAGATAAGTCACACCTGAATTTTAAGTCCATTTTGCAATTAAAAGATCCGGGTCTATAATGAATTTTATTGTGAATTTTATTGTGAGTTGAGAATTTTATCGTGAATTTCATTGTGGATTTTATTATGGATTTTATCAGGAATTATATCAGGAATTTGTGAATTGTTTCTAGAATCGCATTGTGAATTTTATCGTGAATTTTATCGGGAATTTCACGGTGAATTTTATCAGGAATTTCACGGTGAATTTTATTGGGAATTTTATCAGGAATTTTATTGTGAATTTTATTGTTAATTACATTGTGAATTTTATAATGGATTTTATCGGGAACTTTACCATGGATTTCATCATGGATTTCATGGGGAATTTTATGGGAAATTTAATTGTGAATTTTATGGGGAATTTCATTGCGAATTCCATTGTGAATTTTATCGGGAATTTAACCATCCTGGATACATTTCAGGAGATATTCCAAAGTCAAGCTCACCTCCACTCCCAGTGCTACTCCAATGCTGTTTTCCATAGAATTGTCCAGATTTCCTCCAGCTGCAGCCCAGGATCTAAAGAAGGATTGAGCAGGAGGATCTGCAGAGAACAAACAGCGACAGATCATCCAAATTCTGTCCTTAGGAAATGAATTTGCATTAAATTCAGAGAAAAATTGGGTTTTTATGATGAAATATCCTGGACGACAAAGATGGCTCTGCCTTATTGGGTGATGCTACTGCAGAAATTGGAATTCCTCCTTTCTGGGATATTCCACCACCATAAAATACCAAAAAAATGGTAAAAAGTGAAGGAATGAGGCTCAGCCCATCCCTGAGGATGAGTTTCCTCCTCTTGCCCAGGAAAACCTTGCTCAGGACACGACCTGGGCAGGACCAGCCTGCCCCACCCGAGCGAAATTCCCAACTGAGGAGGAATCCCAGCTTCCCGCACAAGGGATTCCCGAAATAGAAACACAAATCAGCAGCAGTGGGGGCTGGGAGAGCCACGACAAACCCTCAGAGACCGATGGACAGACAGGTCCCCACCATTTGCAGAGCTGATGCTGGAATTCCAAGCAGACCACAATTTCCGCGATTCCTTATCCTCGTTAATTATCTCGTTTCCTTGCACCATCAAGGATTCATTTTCCCTGATCCAAGAGAGTTCCTTAATCCCCACTGGCTCGAAGAGGTTGGAAAGGAGATGAGAAGAACGTTTTTTGTGCCTCAAGTCGTCACTGTCCCTCCTGGATCCCTGGCACATCCCCAGGGGTGTTTATCCAGGAATTCCACAATGATTTGGGCTGGAAAACACTCAAATCTCCTCCAGCCCCACCTTTCTTCCACTTCCACCCCTCCATCAGGACACAATGCCCTTGGAATATCTAATTTTGATCAGGAATTTCACAACATTTCATCATCTCCTGAGCAGTTTTTAATTATTCCCATTTTCTTCTGCAGGAAGGGCGGGAATTGAATCATCCCAGCGCACAACAACTCCAAAACTTCTCTCCTTATCTTGAATTTGCTGCTGGCTCAAGGAAACCCTGCCTTTATGGGGAGTCTGGACCCAAAGAAAATTCACAATTCCACCTGTGCCAGTTTTTTTCGGATCCAGGCTCCCTCCTGCTCCCATCCCCACTGCTTTCCCTGGACAAAAAAAGAAATTTTGGAGGCTATAAACACCAAAAATAAACACTCCTTGGCTGGGGAAGGCTCAGTAAATCGATCTCCCAAAGTGATGCAGCCAAAGGTGGCCTCGTTTGCCGAGCAGGGCAATGAAAAATTGACATTCTTTGCCACGAGTTTGGGGACACAGCTGAGCCACGGGGGCGTTATCCAAGAAAACAGGAAAAYATCRGTGAAAATATCAGCCAAAATCAGCTTCCATGGCTTATCCAGAACATTCCCAAAGCTGCTTTTTTCCCCAGTGCCTCATCTCTGTCTGGCTTRCAGATAAAATTCCCCACCAAAATGAATAAATGTTTAATTAGGCCCAATTAGGAGCTCTCATTAACGAAGGGGAAAACCCTCACAACGGGGAAGATAAATTTGATATAAACAGGAGCGAACAGGGGGAGGGAAAACGATCCAAGAGGGACGGGCTGGTGCCATAAAAAACATGTGAGTAAAACCCATTCCAAGAAAACAACCGGGATTGAAATATCACAGGAGGTCGGCGGGGCGTGACGGAAATGTGGGAAGGAGCATCCCCAAGACTGGAATTTTATTTTGAATAAAATTCCAGTTTGTCCGCGTTGTTTCACCTGGCAGGGCTGCGGGGAGGAGCAGCAGATGGAAATGAAGATATGGGATGCAAATGGGATTTCCTGGTGTTGTTTGGGGGAGAGATTTTGGGGTGAAAACACTTCTGCTGAGGTGGGAAAATATCATTTCAGGAGAGCAGAGATCCATGAAGGTGTTTGATGTTCAGGGTGGAAATTTAAACGCCAACACCAGCACCAAATCCCAAGGGCCAGGAAGGGAATTCAACTGAGCTCAAAGGGAAAATTCCCCATTCTCAGTTTTCTTCTGGAGATCACTGAATTTCACCACAATGCAAAAATCAGTGAAGAAGTGGATGGAACAAAAGAGCACCCGAAGAAACAAACAAAAAAAACAAAAAACACCCCAAAAAAAAACCAAAAAGCCAAAAAAACCCAAAAAAGCCCAAACAAAAAAGCCCAACCACACAAAAAAACCTGAACAAACAACAACAACAACAAAAAAAAAACAAAAAAAACAAAGAAACAACCCCAAAATTTTCTTTAGGAAATAGGCAGACACATTTCAAATAAGAAGGGGGAAGAATTCAATATTTTGAAGAATTACCCCGCAAAAATTTTTGCAGATCTGCAAATTTCATTGCAATTAAAACCTGCCCTGCCCCAAATCCCAAAGGCCAGGAAGGGAATTCAASAAARCTCATCAAAGGGAAAATTCCCCATTCTCAGTTTTCCTCTGGAAATCATCGAATTTCACTACAATGAAAAAAATCAGTGAGTGAAGAACAGGGAAAGGAAAAGAATCAGAGAAGAAAAACCCAAAATGAGCCTCAAGATCTCTTCCATCACCACACCCCTCTCCCTGCACCCAGAGCATTTTCAACCACTGCTGTTATAAAAAAAAAAGAAGGCAATAAAATGCAATTCGGTGTCTGTTTGATGCTGCCACGCCAAAATCTGCACCCAAAGTCGCAGCTCTCAGCCTTTTCACATCTCTGCTTCCACTGTCAGGAGCTTAACGAGCAGAAAACCAAACAAGAGCTCCAAAGATCAACAAAAACCCTCTGCCTTTTCTTCCCAACGTGTGCATTCTTGAGAAGACAACGATGACAGATTGAACGTCAAAATCCTTTAAATTTTTTTCTAACTATTTAATTTTTTTTTTTTAACTCTCAAAAATCAGCTTGCCTGTTGGGAGCTTATGCAACGCGAAAGGCAAAGCTTAATAAAAAAATGGAATAAAAGATGCACTTGGACTTCATCTGAGGCTTATTTAGCAACTCTTATTCCTTATTTCACAGCTCTAATCATATTTTATTGGGAGAAAATTTTATTGGTAGAAACTCCGCTTTTTATGAAGTTAAAATAAACATTCAGGTGTTTTATTGGGGTAAGTCCTCTAAGACAGCAAAAAAAAGGTGCTGAAATAATTCCAGTTCAAAGTTTGAAGCCCTGGCTGTGGAATTCCCTTCCCAGAATCACTCCCAGATGCTGTTTTTTGGAAAATCCCCGCCTCAGTCTGAGCCTTGGTTTGCACCACTCAATATCCCATAAATGAGCACCCATAATGTCACAAAAAAACCCCAACATGACCCAAATTCCCCTTTGCTGCTTTTCCAGAGCGCCAATTCCTTGGGACTGAAATCCCAGGATCTGAAGGTTTGAGTTTTGAGTCGTTGCAAGCCCGAGCAATTAAATCTCACCCAGAACTCATCAGTGTGGCCCGAGAGCTGCTGAGGTGAGGACAGATTAATGACCCTGGATCTGACATCCCAAAATAGCCACGGGCATGGGGAATTTGCTCTGCCCGGTTCCTCGGGGGGATTGCACCACACAGTGAATATTCCCAGCCTCGGGGTGTCCGTTCCAACAGAAAATCACACACACAGACTCCCAGAGAGACACACACAGAGAAAGGCTCTACACACCCCAAAAAACTCGATACTCACACTCAGAGCCCAGCCCCGCCTGCATTCCAAGCTTTGTTTCCCTCCTCAACCCCTCCATCCCATGGCTTTATGCCCTTTATCAACCACTCCATCCCATGCCTTTGTTCCCTTTCTCTACTCCTCCATCCCATTGCCTTTATTCCAATTTTCAACCCCTCCATCCCATGGCTTTGTTCCCCTTTTCAACCCCTCTGTCCCATGGCTTTGCTTCAATTCTCAACTCCTCCATCCCATTGCCTTTTTCCCCTTCTCACCCCCTCCATCCCATGGCTTTTTTTCCCATTCTCAACCCCTCCATCCCATGGCTTCGTTCCCTTTATCACCCCCTCCATCCCAAAGCTTTGTTCCATTCTCAACCCCTCCATCCCATGGCTTTGTTCCATTCTCAACCCCTCCATCCCATGGCTTTTTTCCCATTCCCAACCCCTCCATCCCATAGCTTTGTTCCCCTTCTCAACCCCTCCATCCCATGGCTTTATGCCCTTTATCAACCACTCCATCCCATGGGTTTTTCCCCTCCTCAATCCCTCATCGCATAGTTTTGTTCCCATTTATCAACCCCTCCATCCCATGGCTTTATTCCAATTCTCAATCCCTCCATCCCATGGCTTTGTTCCCCTTTTCAACCCCTCTGTCCCATGGCTTTGTTTCAATTCTCAACTCCTTCGTCCCATTGCCTTTTTCCCATTCTCACCCCCTCCATCCCCTGGCTTTTTTTCCCTTCCCAATCCCTCCATCCCATAGCTTTTTTCCCCTTTATCAACCCCTCCATCCCATGCCTTTTTTCCCCTTCTCAACCTCTCCATCCCATTGCTTTGTTCCCTTTACCAACCCCTCCATCCCATTGCCTTTTTCCCCTTCTCAACCCCTCCATCCCATGGCTTTATTCCCCTTATCAACCCCTCCATCCCATGGATTTTTCTCCTCCTCAATCCCTCCATCCCATAGCTTTGTTTCCTTCCCAACCCCTCCATCCCATTGCCTTTGTTCCCACTCCAAACCCCTCCATCTCATGCCTTTGCTCCCCTTTCTCAACCCCTCCATCCCATGGCTTTGTTCCCCTTTACCAATCCTTCCATCCCATAGCTTTGTTCCCATTCCAAGCCCCTCCATCCCATGGCTTTATTCCCTTTATCAACCCCTCCATCCCATGGCTTTATTCCCTTTATCAACCCCTCCATCCCATGGCTTTGTTCCCATTCCCAGCCTCTCCAACCCAGAGCTTTATTCCCATCCCCAACCCCTCCAACCCATGGCCCCTCCATCCCATTGCCTTTTCCCCCTTCTCAATCCCTCCATCCCATGGCTTTTTCCCCTTTATCAACCCCTCCATCCCATTGCCTTTTTCCCCTTTATCAACCCCTCCATCCCACTGCTTTCCCCTACAAACACTTGCATTCCCAGCTAACCCCAGTGAACCAGAAGGGAGCTCCCTCTTTCCAGGAGAGCCGAGGTTTTCCGATGGTTTTTTCCCTCTCCTCCCTCCCCACAGCCCCAGGCACCTTCCCACAGGTGGAACAGAACCCTTAACAGCCTCTGGGAATTTTTTAAAATTCTTTTCCAGCAGGAATAAATCCCAAATGCTGATTTTAGGGCCCCACGTGGCATTTCCTGGATTTCACCRCGATTTTTAGGGCTGCTTTCAAAACATACCCGAGTTTTGGACTCAGCCACAGGGAAATGCAGGATAATTGATGGCTGTGGGAGCAGACTGCTGAAAACACACAGGAAAAACTCATTTCCCCACAAATTCAGGCACTGCTGAGCATGGGTGACCCTGATTAACAATTAA